TCCTCCTCAGCAATGGCGGCTCGATCTCGCTGCTCATCTGCACTCAGTTCCATCTTGCTCTCAACCAGATGCACCTGCTGCCGCACAGCACTCAGTACTGAACTGTGATTAGATTCTTCCTCCTCAGCAATGGCGGCTCGATCTCGCTGCTCATCTGCACTCAGTTCCATCTTGCTCTCAACCAGATGCACCTGCTGCCGCACAGCACTCAGTACTGAACTGTGATGGGACTCCTCCTCCTCAGCAATGGCGACGCCATCTTTTTTTGCTTGCTGTTGTGTAATTGAATCATCTTCTATATTTATTACAATTTCTCGTCCTTCAGTGCCACTTGTATGATGTTCAGTTGTAGTGGAGGTCTCCATTTTATTATTGAAAGTTTTCGTTGCCGAATGGTTTTGTATGTTTTCTCCTTGTTTTTGTTTCTTTTGAATGACGTGTTGTCTGAAATCCTCAAGTGTTGAAATGGCTTTTGCTTCTGAAGGTGTATCTGGTAAAGTGTACGTTTCGTTTTTGATTGTATTAGGTGGGGAAATTGTTGAAGTTTGTTGTACGTGGATGTTGTGGGGGGTACCTGTATAGCTAGACTTAATTGATGCATCTAGTTCAGGTTGTTGTTGTTGTTGTTGTGGATTATCTGAAATGGATAGTTGTTGCGTATTAGTTATACTGAGTGCCCCGTTTGTTGAAGAAGACGATGGTTGTGTTTCTGTTTCTGCCTTAGTTACAGACTTTCGACGTTGTGCATTTTGTTGAGCGTAGAAGCGTGCAATAAGTTCTTCTTCTTCTTCTGCGGTATGATCAGACTCCTTACCTTTTGCTGATGCAGTAACATCTCGATTGTTCTTTGTAGATGTAGGGATCGTGCTTTGCGCCTTGTCCTTTTTTTTCTGCTGGTGATGTTGACGAGAACTGAGAACTGTACTGCCTCCACGCTTTTCACCATTCGCCAAATCCCAATCCCACGTCGTCAGACTATTCCCTACACCTGTTACTACTGCTGTATTCCCCGATGAGGTGTTTTGATGAGCACGCCGCATATGTTTCTCTAGTTGTTGTTTAGTTAGTGCTGTTTCTGTAGTGTTGCCGTGATTAAAGGTACGGACCAGCACATTTCTTCTACTTCCTCTCAATCTCGTGGAAGTGGCTGTTGTCACTGACGGTGCTTCACTAAGGGCATCATTAAGGATTAGACTGGATGTGGTTTTCACGGATAGTTCCTCCTTCTTGGGTGTATACAAAACACGATCATCCCGGTGAAAGCTGTCTGGTCGTGATTTGGACCATTCTTGAATGGGTTTTTGTTCCTTTTGCGGTAGTCGCCATGAAATGCGGGAGGATCGTGCAGAGGCGGATGTCGTTTCACTTGCACACTCACTCTTCCCTCGTCGTTTTCGTGCTGTTTGACTGCGGTGGGATGTGGACTCACTACACACACTCTCATCAAAGGAAATGGAGGTGCTGCTAGTCCCTAATCGGCGTTGGGTTTTACTGCCGTTGTTGTTGTTGTTGTTGTTGTTGTTGTTGCTGGGAATGTGAAGGGGTAGTTGGGAGTCTTTTTCATCTTCACAGGACGACAACGGCTGTTGGGCGTTACGTGTTCGGATCTCTACTGTACATTGATGCTTTTCCCGCTCCCGCATGCAATTTCTATTCATGTTGCTTAACTCTTTTGTTATGCTTTGCTATTATTATTATTATTATTAAAGTAATTTATTTATTTAATTTGTGGAAAGGCGTTACATGGAAAAAAATGAAAAGAAAAAAAGAAAAATTCCAAATAATGACAAGAAACACAGATCAAGAGAATAATTTTATAACATTTCTTTGGGGACCAAAACGTACGTAAACAAGATAATAATAAAAACAACAATGGTAATAATAATAATAATAATAATAATAATAATAACGATCGCAAAAAAAAAAAGAAAAATTGCTGTTGTTCCGCGAGTACACAAACGTATTAATACAGTCAGACAAAAAAAACAAAAAACAAATGAAACCACTAGTTACGCACGATTCAAAGAAGGAGTAACCCTACTCCAGCCTGAATGGAAACCCCAAAAATAGCAACATGCATTGCCTTGGTACTATTAAGGAACCTTACATATATATGGTAAATACAGTCATATGCGAACAGTAAAAAAGAAAGACCAATAATAAAAAAAAAGACAAAAAAAAAGAGACTAATCATAATAAAAAAAATGAGAGGGAAGCCAACTCTAAGCATTTTTTTTTTGCTCTTGAGACTATTGATTCTTTATTATTTTCCTGTTGCTTGCGGAATATACTTGTTTCTTTTCCTTTGTGTCATTCAACAGTTTATCAGTTTTTTTTCTTTTTTTTTCTTTTCCCTCCCATCTCTCTGCGTATACACATACGCTGGATGAGGCAAGTTTTCAAAAAATAGACATTCTTTTTTCTTTTTCTTCTTCTTTTCTTATATGTGTTTTTATTTTTCCTTTGTTTATATCCCAATATCGTTATTTACATTTTTTTTTTTCCTCTCTTTCCCCCTTTATTTTGTTAGTACTGAGACCACAGGATTCTCACGTACCCACAACGATTTCAACGAGATTCTTCCACAACCCACTTCTTCTTCCCTTGTCATTACATATATGTATCTTTTTTTTTTTTCTATTCTGGATGTTTTTTTTTGCTTTTTTTAAAAAATTTTTTCATTATTTTTCTTCTTCATCATTTATAAATTATTTTTTTTTTCTTTTCTTTTTCTTCTTGTTGTGGCGATCGCAAATATTTTCCAATTAATACACCAGCCACCTTTGCACCCCCACCCCCCACCCACACTAAAAAGAACAGTTATGCATCTCAACAACTACCGTTCCTTTCTTCTTCTTTTTCTCTCTCTCTCTCTCTCTCTCTCTCTCTCTCTATTTCTCTTTCTATTTATCTCTCTTTACTTGTGTTTATTGAGAAACTGTAGATATTCCTGCCGTGCGGGGTTATTGTCAAATGGCGGTGTGATGGCCAACCACTTTGGGTTTTCTTTAAACAACCGCAGGGCCTCTGTGTGTTGTGTGTGGTCCACCGTAAAGCGATGGGCAATACCAGCGGGCAAGAGAAGAAAATCACCCGGCTTTACATAAATACGCACCCACGCATTATCCGTATTTCGCACATCAAAGTAACCGGCTCCATAGAGAATAAGTCGAACTTCATCATCTTCATGTATGTGTTCAGTAAAGAAGATTTTTAATTGATCTTCAAATGCAGTGGGGCCGCCAAGGTGTTTATCTGGGGATATACACACAATATCATGACCAACATAACCCAATTCCTTCTTTAATGCCAAGATGGGAGTTTCTAACTTCTCTGCATTCTTAAGTAGATCCGATAGATCCAAGTGTCGATAGGAAACACCTAATGCAGTTAACGCAGCGATGTCTACAGGCACATTTGGTGTACATTTGTTAGGGGCTTTTGGATCTTGGATCTCTGCTGGCATAATCCAACACTCCGGCATGACTTTTTAATATTGTGTATTGAGGAAGTACTTTTTTCTATTTTGATGGTTAGTTACTTGTGCTTCTCCCACACAAACTTCAATAGACTTGAAAGTATTTGTAGAATATTATTTTATCAACTTGACCTACAAGTATATATATATATATATATTTCTTTTATACGTGTAGTGTGAGTAATACACGGAGAGTGTCAAGTAAAGAAGGTGTGTGCAATTGTACAGCAGGAACAGTGACAATAGCAACAAGGAAGTTCACAATGAAATAAGAGAAATAGAGAGTAAGAAAAAAAAGAAAATAAATAGATAGATAAATAGAGTACAAAGAAGGAAAAAAAAACATTACAAACATACATACATACATACACAAACACATTACATTCCCTTCTCACCTTTTTCTTTCATATTTCCATATTTGATTAGACGTGCGTCTTGGAAGTACATTTATATATTCAGCACATACGACATGGACTGCAGCGAAATTAAAATAAGTATAGGGAAAAAAAAGAAGAAGTAAACCCGAAGGAGCAAAACTGTCAATCAGGCAAATTAGGAAGAAAAAAAAAGAAAAAGACCAAATAAGAAGGATAAATAAAAAAAGAAGAAGCTAAACAACATCACAATACAAGGATTCAAAAGGCTTGTATATAATATAGGTAGAATAAAATGAAAAAAGAAACGATTAGTACATGGACGTGTACTTGTGTGCACACATAAGCATGGAAGAAACTTCAGTAGTAGCATCATCATTACTAATATATACTTATACAGTACATGGACGTGTACTTGTGTGCACACATAAGCATGGAAGAAACTTCAGTAGTAGCATCATCATTACTAATATATACTTATACTGAACTATATATATATATATATACATATATATATTAGAGAATGAGAGATATCTTTTCTAAAAGAATAAGAAAGAAAGATAAAAAAAAAAACAACAAAAAGCGAAAAAGAAGGAATCCTCTTTAGCTTCGTGTTTATTTTTTTCTTTATTTTCACTTCTATTAGATTTCTCTGACGTCTATTATCATCTTTCTTTCTTTCTTTCTTTCCTCATAAGATATACATTTCACATGGAGTCTTCTCTGTTAGAGGGATGGACTGCCCAGAAATAAAAATAATAACAAAAAAAGAAAAGAAGATGCCACACCGGAACATGTTTCTTTCACATACACAGAGCCATAAGTACACTCACACACAAAAAAAAGAAAAAGAAAATGCACACTTTATTTCTGAAGGAAAAAAAAAAAAAAGAGAGACGTATAAGACGTTCCCAACGTTGTTATCCCATCAGTGTATTGTAATAACTGAGGATCAGTGTATATAGTATTAGTATTCTTACCTCCCCCTCTCTCATGGATATACACACAGACACACACATAGATAGATAGAAATAATTAATTTCCACAAAAGAGAGAGAGAGAGAGAGAGAGAGAGAGAAAGAAAGCACAAAACCAAGAGGTCCGCTAGTACTGGCAGAAGCAATTGAAGAAGCAAAGCAAAGAAAAGAAAAGAAAAAAACAAAAACAAAAAAAAGAATGATTATTATGACTTCACATATATTTTTTTTTTATATGCGAGTTTGTGTGTTGGTCTGTTTGTATGTGTTTTGCCATTGTAATAAGAGATAAAGAGAGTGACACGATTGAATGAACAATGGTCGTCAGCACAACCAGACTTAAACACTCTGCAAGAGAAAAGTTCCAGCCATCTGCTCATAAATAGCAGCATAAAGAAAGAAAAGAAAAAGAAAAAAAAGAAACAGCAACATTATCTTTTCATTGTATTATCCTTTATTTACCATTTTTTTGTTTTCTTCACCTTCACAAGCAACCACCCCACCCCCCCTTCCCCTATACTATTCGCTTTTGGGACACTCACTCATTGATGAGTACATACATCAATACATACATTCATACATAAAAATATATATATATATATATATATATATATATATATCATACAGACAGAGAGAGAAACGAAGAGAAATAATAATGATAGACGCTCATTTCTATCGTAATAAATATTTACCGTTATTCAGAATCAATGGAAAGGTCCAGTGTATCTTCTCCTCTCCATATTGTAGAATCCCCCGCATGGGAAGCCTCCGCTGGCACCTCATCCGCCTCTACTGGACAAACCTCCTCCACCGCACGTAAAACCATTTCCATCCACTCCACATCCCAAGTAACTGGATGATCCAATACTTCTCGGGCCGTCATTCGCTTCTGGGGATCACGATGAAATAATCCTTCTAATAATTCCACAAGACTCTCTGGCAATTCCGCCTTTTCAGATCCCAGAAATTTGGTATTGGTCGTACTAATAAAGGTAACCGCACGTGTGGATTGACAACTGGGGCTATTTAAAAAACGTAGATCTTCCAAGTCTTCCTCTGCAGAAGTTGCGGTTTTTTCTCTCGTTACTTGTGAAGGGACTCGCCTGCGTGGAGCCACGTGTTCTCGACGTTCACTAGAACTTTCATTAAATGCACTTTTCATCGCTCCAAGTATCATTCGAGCCGTACTATCCCCAAAGTGATGTTGCAGCATTCCACTCCTGTGATTAGAGAGTGTAATGGGCAGACTGCCCGTAAAGGGAATAGATTTATATAATTCCACTAAAGCAGGAAAGTGAAGTCCCTGCAGGTGTCCAAGGCGAAGTCCAATAACTTCTGCAAGTAAACATCCAAAAGACCACATATCACATGGTCTTCCATAGGGTTCACCAAGTAAAACTTCAGGAGACATATAGGCTAATGTACCTTTCATGTTTATAAGTGGTTTGGTAGCTCGTTCTTCAGCAGCACTTCCAAAATCTCCAATTTTCGCTACACCATTTACAAAAAGGATATTACAAGGTTTTATATCTCGATGTACAATACCTTGTGAATGAATATACTGAATTCCACTGGCTACATCATGAAGAAGAAGTACTATTTCACGTGCTGTTAGTTGATCATGTCCTCTAGCCGTACTATCCGAATCTAAAATTCCTGTACTTGGACTACTCGTAACGGATGAAACTGAAAATGGTGGAGTTGTTGCTAATTGTGGTAAAGGTGGTTGTTGATTTCCTCTTTCTCCTTTTCGTGCACTACCATGATGAGATGTGCCATGACCTTGTAGTCTTTGACTTAATGTTCCATCACATAATTCCATAAAAATACAGTAAGAGTTTTCTTCCATAGATGAATGAGAAAAACTTACTATATTAGGATGATCTAATTGACTTAATATTAATACCTCACGATTAAGTTGCTCAAGAACACGATTACTAGCTCCACTTAAAAACATTCGTTTCATAGCTAAACGTCCACGTGAGACTACCAAGTAAACTTCATATACATCACCAAATGCACCAGTACCTATATGACGAACTATTTGATAACTCTTTCTCCAACGAACTTGTACCATTTCATATCGAAGACGATGTTGACGAATATAAAGACTTGCATTTTGACCAATAGTAGGATCTGTAAAAACTTCTGAAATATCTGGTAAACGTAAAACAGCTTCATCAGGAGTTCCAGGAGGTAAAGGTAAACTATAAGAATTTTCTGTTAACAAATATAAAATAGTTGTTTGTTTTCCTGCATCTACTCCTATAAGGTCTCGAATATCTGGAGTTACTAGTTTTTCATTCCATTCTATAAATACTACATCAAAAACATGAAGTCCAATTAATAGATAACGTTTCATTACCGCCTTGTCTGAGACAACAGTTGCTGAATGTCCTTTAGACCATAAATATTGTACAACATCTGGTCGTTGTTCCTTTAAATACAATAAAATGTGAAGATATTGTTTACCATAGTTTGTCGCATTACTTACAAAAGGACCAGTACATGATATACTTGTTCCCATAGTATCACTACCACTTCGACATCTACTTCTACCAAAAATATTATCTGCTCGTACTGGACCTGAACCAGTTTGCCAACCTGGAAGTCCTGGTTGTGTTGAATGAGAACTAGACATGGATTCTCGCCTAGTAGTTGTTCCTGTTGTTCCTGTTGTTGTTGTTGTGATTGGTGTGATTGGTGCTGGTACTGGTGTTAGTACTGGAGGAGGAGGAGGAGTAGTAGTATGTAGTGGTGGTGGTGGTGCTGTAGAAGGCGTACTAGAGATATCTCCACTTCTTGGACGATTAGGATTTAAAATAGATGGTAAACCACATGCAATATCTGCTGAAGAACCTGCTACTTCTTCTATTTGTTGTCCACTAGGACCATGAAAAAAGCAAGCGTTGTTGCTACTTTCTAGACCCATAGCATCTGCTTTCGCAAAGTTTTGTTCAGTTACTCCACTTTCTTCTAGTTTTTGAGAACAGAAAGATTCAGCTTTACGTATGGCTTCTGAAAATGCCTCTTCAGCTGCAGCGTATTGATCTAAATGAATCATTTCACCTTTCGTACTCTCTACAGCTTCTTCTGTAAGGGCATTTGTAGCAGCCACACCAAGAAGAGAGAGTCCTTTTACAGTGGATAATTGTAGAGATCCAACACCTTCCATAAGTTGTAGACGTTCATGTGTGGTATAAGGGAATCGAAGTACACATCCATTTGGGATAAAATGAATAGAAGCCTCACAAACGTGTAAATACTCTATAAGAGTAGGTGAAAGGAGAGAGTTAATACTCACATCTGGTGAATAATCTCCTCCTTTTCCTAAACTTTCACTTGCAGTGGCATCACGTGAAGAGAATGAACCAGTATCATCTATTGAAGGAGTTGTATCTCTTTTTAATCCAGAACATTCTTCTCCTCTTATTTCAAGAATGAGAAACATGTTTTCTACGTTAACAGTACACTTCACACGTTTATATCGTTTTAATATTCGTTGAACAAATATCATAAGTGCAACAAAGTTAAAAAGGAATTTCTCTGGTACAAGTGGAGAAACCTCTACTTCTAATACAGCTGCTAAACTTTCTAATTTTTGACGTATTTGATGAGATGTTACACTATCAACAGAGTGACCTCGTTCAGCTGACATAAAAGCTGCACTTCCTTTTACAGTAGAACGTCTTTTAGATCGTCTGTAATTAAATACAGGTGATTTATGAGCACGAAGACGTTGTGTGGCTAAACTAGTACGAGATGTAATATCTTCTGTATCACGATCTACATTAAATAACTTGGGTAAACTTACCGAATTCTCTGTTCTCATATCTGCCGTTGAAGCTCGTTTCTGAGTCCCAAATGGTGATTCACCTCTAAGTGTAGTTGAAGCATGTATGGGATGTGATCGGACACTCTCATTTACAGAAACTGTACGACTAATAGGACGAGGCATTCCTTCCATTTCATTTGTATTTTGACGGAGAAAAAGTAATATTAAATAAGACTTTTCAGCAGAATGGGGTGTACATGGTTGTTCTACATTACAGAAAGTAGAGGGTAATGTCAGTTGATTAATACTCATTGCATATACATCCAAATAGGTTCCTTCATGTTCAAGAAAAACCGTAATAAGCTCTTCTACACCATTTTCAAAGAGAGTTTTCGGTTCCGTAATCTCTTCTAAACGACTTTTCTTTCCTTGTTGATGATGATGATGATGATGATGATATTGTTGTTGTTCTTCTATTTGCTCCTGTTGTTGTTGTTGTTGTTGTTGTTGTTGTTGTTGTTGTTGATGATGTCGTTGTTGTTTCTGATGTTGTTTAGATGGCGGTACTGGAACTAGAAAAAGACGACCATGTTGTTTTTGTGGGGTTTGTGGTAATGCTGGTAATGTAGATGTTCGTCTACTCACATCGGAGGATCGTTTTTTACGTGATAATCGTTTAACTGATCGATAGAGTCCAAATACTTTTCTTATATCTTTTCCAGCTACATCTGAGAGCCAACTGTAGTGAAGTAATTCCAGTGCTGCGAGATTACAGTAGGCAACAGGAAATGTTGGTGGATGATGATGATGATGAGAGGAGGATCGGTGTTCTCTACGACTACTTGTGGGATATTGAATATATTCCACCACCATTAATGGACAAACACAATCCTTTATATTCTCTGCAAGATGTCGACAAATCTTTGCTGATCGATCAACATTTATGGATTGTGAACTTTCCTGATTTTTATCACCACCACCAGCGGGAACATCAACAAACACCATTGGTTTCTCTCGTTCTGCCTCTATACATGGACTATACAGAGGCGTAGCCATTGTTGTTATTGTTGTTGGTGTTGTTAATTTCTCTGTATTCCAACAATTAGATTCTCTCCCATCTGTGGTCGGTCCTTCTCTGTGATCTTCCACTGTAGTTGGAGAGAATGGAAAGTCTGAAATCCCATGAGCGGGACTTCCTTGACAAGTTGGAATAAAAGGCGTAGGAGGAGAAGAAGAATAATAATAATAATATGAAGGTGGAGTCGGCGAAGAAGAAAAACTCCCTGCAGGGACTAAACTAGTACTTCTAGTACTCGTCCCTCCACTACTATCCCCAACACCGGCCATTGATGGAAACCATTCATTATTTTCCTCCATCTTGGTTGACTGCTTAGAAGTAAGCGGATCATCATCTGTAGGGAATGAAAGTACATCTTCCACCCCATCATCTCTACAGTTTACATGAAGTGTTGTGCTTTTTGTATTTTGACGGGGAAATTGAAGAAATGCAGCTCCATCCGTAAAGAGTTCCCGCAAGATGGAAATATAAGCGAGATCCGAAACTCTCTCTAACCATTTCATACGAAGAATCATACCCACAACAACTATTAAAACTAGTAGTAGGAGACTAATAATAAAACGAATCATACACCAATGGGCTAATGTGAGACTAAGAACATATCTACTACTACTACCACCACTGCTGCTGCTGCTACTGCTAATACTGCCATTATTGTTGTTATTATTACTATTATTATTGTTAGTATGAGTGGTATTGCTGTTCTCATCACTATTACCAATTGTATTGATATGGATTCTGGTACTTTGGAAAGTGTAGAAAACGGAGCTATCCAGCGAATCATATTCCAATGCGACTAACACCGCCGATAATAAAAGCATCACACTATACAGAACCTTCGTTACAAATTTGGCAGCACTCATAGGGTGAACACCATGACCCAAACGTAACCATTTAAACATTCTTCCACCTAATCGAGATGAATGGAAGTTATCATCATTATCATTATCGTTATCATTTTCTTCCTCCTCCTCATCATCATAATCACCATTAATAGTACTCTTTTTATTCTTCTTATTATTATGACTGGTACTCCTACTACTAGCATCATTGAATTTAAGAGTATTATGACTATTATTATTACTATCATCATCATCATCATCATCATCCACATGGTAGGAGTTATGCCCACTAGGTGAAGTACGGCAGTAGGGATTCACATCTACTTCATTACTGTCTGTATGAAGATAAAGCACAAGTGGCTCCTCTGCAAGTATTCTTGTTCTTTTATCACCACAACAATTAGATACCACCTCTTTCATGTGTGAAGTGATATGATCTAATCGTGCCATCAAGTCCAATCGAATGCCTGCAAAACTATGACTACCATTACATACACGCACAAACTCCTCCCAACTAGATATGATCTCACGTAATTGATACTCCAGTTGTGATCTTAGTCCTTCTTCTTCTTCCTCTTCTTTTTCTTTTTCTTTTCTTTTTCTTTCTTTTCTCCTTCTTCTCTCCATCAAATCCATCACAACATGACGAAGTTGTTCCATCGCCAATGAGACTCGGCGGGTAAAAAACAAAAACGTCACGGAAAGTGCATGCGGCTCCACCGTCGCGGCCCACTGCGGATCCACCACTACCATTACATCAACAGAAGTAGAAGTAGAAGAAGTAGAAGAAGAAAAAGAAAAAGAAGAAGAAGAAAGAGGAGGAGAAGAAGAAGAAAGAGGAGGAGAAGAAAGAGAAATAACGCCGTCACTGCGGCTTGAGGATTCGGGTTCTAACAGTGCCATGAGAAGTCGCAACAACTGCACATCGTATAACAGCGCCGTAAGCCGTTCAGTTGTCTCTACTCGCCACGGGGTTGTGAGGGGAACTCTGCGGCGTGTGGGACTATCATCATCACTATTATTATTATTATTATTATTATTATTATCATTATTAACATTATTATTATCATTGATATTGTTAATATTGATACTGTTGTTGATATTGTTGTTGTTGTTGTTGTT